CTCTCTCTCTCTCTCTCTCTCTCTCTCTCTCTCTCTCTCGCTCGCTCTCGTTCTCACTCCCACATACACCCACACACACGCTCTATCTCTCTTTCTCTCTCACACACACATACACACTCCGTTCACCTCTCTTCTGTACCTTGATACTGATGAGGCAGTCCGCTCCTCGGTCTCAAGCTGTCCCACAACGGCGAGCCCAGGCCGTTACGCTCCTGACCCTTTTGCTCTAAGCTCGCCGAGTCTTTCCCGTCGTGCGACGGCGCGCCGGAGCTACTGCCCGATCTAGCCAGACTACTCGTGTACGGCAAGGAGACGGACTTAACGCGCTCGAGCTTGTACGAGAATGCGCTTGGCCGGTTCGTCTGAGAGAGCGATCGTTTTTGCAACGCGCCGGACATGGAGGAGCCCTTCGAACTTCGCTCGCTTGTTATTCTCTGTTCGCTGCTGCCGCCGCCGCCGTCGCCGCCGTCACCGCCGACGACGACGACGCTGCTCGTCCGAGCGGCCGGCGACTCTTGGTTACTCCTGACGCGCTGCGGCGAATAGGCCGGCGAGTAGTCTAGCGACGGGGCTTTCGACAGCACACCGGCCGATTCACGAGGGGTGTCCCCATGCTGTTAGTGAGAAATATCGAAAATATGCGTCAATGCGGCTGATGGTGCGGGCGGTGATGGGCTGGAGACGTGTCGAATCGCTTGACGAACCGCGAGTCTCGTCTCGGATGTTGCTCAAAACCGGAAATTTTCCAAATTCTCAAAGATCTCTCTGGAATGTCTTGAGAGTCTCAAACGTATCGCGAGTTTCGAGGAAGTCTGGAAACTAGACTAGCTCGTTATCAGAACGTAGACACTCGAGACTCTCAAGATATTTCAAACTTTCAGGATTTGTGCGAACTTTCTCGGTTTCGAAGAACATCTAAGGCGATTCAAGTGCTTGAATCGTTTGAATATTTCCAAAGCAAGAGATTCGAACGTTCATCATTAAGTGCGGGGCGAAGGGATGGTTAAACACTATATCAAGTCGCTGCTGTTCGCTGAGTTACAATTATGGTATTTGCGACAGCCGTGAACACGAGCGATCGGTTCACCGAGACGAACTGATATATGTACAGGTCGATGTAAAGTCCAAACGAGTAAATGCCAACGGCGATTACGGCGAACGGGGTGAAGGGAAGGAGGACAGTTAATAAAAAGCGCAGGGTCAAAATTCTTCTTACTCGAGCGACCAAGGTACTGAACCACGTCAATCGTCAGGACCTCGTCGTTGAAGCGCGACAACAAGCTCGCCAGGCGAAACACCATAATATGTAATTACGGCGGCAGTTAATCTCATTTTCAGCAATATACATATTTGTTAACCACATTTTCTACTTTGTTGCAACCTTGTCTGAACGACGGACACTCGTACCTTCAATTGTTGTTGCAGTCGATGTATCTCCTCCCGCGGTTCAGCGAGCTCGTTGTCTCGACCCCGTAGAATCTGTATCGTGTCGCTGATACTGCTGTCGTTCGTCTCCAGCACAAGATGCGCTCTCAGCTGTTTGTTTCTCGCATCCAGTTGCATGATGTGCTGCTGCGCCTGGGCGAGCTGCTTCGACAAGTTGCCTACCTTCTCTTCCAGCGCGGCGGACTCCACGCATTTGGACGAGTACTTCGCAGACAGAGAGAGAATTTCCTGCTTTATCTCCTCCATTTCTTCTCTGAAAGAAATGCAGCATACATTAATACGTAATATTTAAAAAATAATAATATAAGAAATTTTGATTTTTGATTTATTAATATATAAAGAAAGAAAAATATATAAATAAAAATACACATATATATATATATATATATATATATATATATATATATATATATATAAGGAGTGAATATATATAATAAAGCTAAAGTGAAAAATAGATATAATAAAGATAATACAAGAAATAAATATAATAAAAAGAATAGTGGCGATCAGTTATAATAATAAATATAATAATCAGTGGCAAACTCGCTAAACAAATCAAAAGCTTTGTATGTTACGCACTCGTGTTCTTTATGAAGCACTCCGATATCCTCGCGCGCTTGCATCTGTTTGATGAACTCCTGCTTGAACTTGGCGATCTCTTTCTGCACCTCGTGTTCATGTGCCTTTCTCATAGCATCCAACGCGGCCAGAGTTGCTTGCGTCTCCTCGGAGAGCGCCTGCTCCTTTTCTATCCTCAGGCTCTCCAGTTCTTGCCGATGTTTCTCTTCCATCTCAGCGATGATGCGTCTATGAGAATTCTCCATTGCCAACAGACCTTTCTCGCAAAGTGCGCGTAGCTGCTTGATCTCTTCTTTGTATCTTTTCCGGGTCTCCGCGTCGGTGTCTAACTCGGCACTTATTGATCGTTGATAAGCTGCCCTCAACTCGTTTACGTGAGCCGAATGCTCAGAGTCCATCGCGTTGAGACGGTGTTCCAATTTCCTGGCCCGCTCGCGCAAGCTGGCCGCTTCCAGTTCGTATTGGGACGTAAGGGATTGGCGTTGACTATCCAGCTCACCTTTGATGTCCATCAAATCCTTCTCCTGATTGCGCTTGAGCGTCTCCAGTTCCTGATTGTGCTCGGCAGTTATCCTCTGAATGGTTTCCTGTAGTTGATTGCACGTCTGACACGAGATGCTATTTATGTAGTCACTCAGCTTCCTTATTTGCTCTCGTAGGTGTAAGCACTTGTCGCACACGCTGGACCAATCTGTGATGCCGCCGGTCGACTTGGACCAAACGACACCATCGACATTTCCACCCACCGCCTTATCCCTCATACACTTGCTGAATCCGACCAAGTCCTCTTCCAAGTGGAACAATGATTGGCTGACGTTCTTCAGCTGCTCCTTCGATTCTCGTTTACCAGTGACTCTCTCTTCGCATTCCTTCGCCAACCGCTGGTAAAGGTAACTGTACTCCGCATCGATGATCGGATTGCTCTGAAAGTCGCATCCCTCATCCGTCAGACAAGCAAGCATGTCCTCGTTTCGAATAAGACTAGATACGAAAGTCTCCCCGGGGAATGTCGTGGCCGACTGTCGCGTGGTATCCTGAAGAAGTGCAATTCTGGAATCTATTAAAGCTTTGTGCGCGATCACGTCGGCGTAATCGGTTAATAGTTGCCGCGACTCATATTTGGCGTCGACCGTCAGCTTGTTCTTCTTCATAGCACGAAGACATTCCTCGTAAGCCTCCGAGAGCTCATGTACGGAGACCTCCATCTCTTGGCGCAGTCGTGTCTGTGCTGCATCCATCCATGACTCCATCCTGACGTGGTCCGCACTATCGAAGCTGAGACAAGTATCGACGATCGACGTCACGTTCTGCTCGTACAGCTGACCGTAACGCATGATCACGTGCGACACCTCGGCTTGTACGAGCTCTTTGCTCACCGTCTCTTGAGCCAAGGCCCAAGCCTCGCGAATACGTCTGTCTTCGAGCAGCTTCTTGCTCGAACCGCTGATCTGCTTGCCGAGGTCCTCCTGTTCAGACAGACTCAGCGTCTCGGCGGCTAACACTTCCGCAAGCTGCCGTAATTTCGTGTCCTTATATTTCCGCATTATCTCGTTCACTTCCCGCTGCTTCTGCAGCAAAAAGTTGAGGCTCTCGCTACGAGCCGCGTTTATCTCCTTTGACGTGTCGGTTGCACCGGCGTGCCCTACCAATACTAACTTATTCGCTAACACCTTAGTAAGATACTGAATGTAATTCGTATTTTGGTATGTTTTGGGCTTAGTTCCGTGAATCTTACGCTTTAAGCTTGAGGCAAGCTGACTAGTTTCGACCAATTCACTGAGAACGGCGCTTCTGTCCGTGGTGCGGTTCAGTGCGCACTTGATCTGTCTGAGAATCACGGACTCGAAGGCCACTCTCTCGGCGACGAGCTTCATCTTCTCCCTCTCGTCCAGCCGACCCTCTTGCGCCAGCACCTGCCGTTTCTTCGTGAGTTCGCTCAGTTTGTCCTTAAGTGTAGTTTCTAGCCTAGATACCGCTACTCCTACTGACTCGGTGACTTGAGCGCTGGCTTGGTTCTTCTTACATTCTAAACACGAGTCCAGTATGTCGTTTACCTCGCGCAAACATTTTTCGGCTTTGTCCTCCGCTTGTGTCGAGCCGAGGCATTTTTCCAATCGTCGCTTCGACTTGGCGACTACTCGCTCGAGTTTCTTCAGCCTCGCCAATACCTCCAACGATATCTCAGAAGATCCGCTGACCTCACTGCATTCGCTGGAGTCCTTCTCCGCATCACTGGCCATGGTCTCGGCGACGTTCGCTACTTTTGTTTCCAAAGTGCTCAGTCTAATGAGCACTTTCATCGGTTCGGAACTCGTTGCGCTGTCTAATGATTTTCTGCGTAGTCTGGCTCGATCCAGGTTCTTACTCTCTCTCCTCTTCTCCTTCTTCGGGTTCGGACTCGACTCCTTCGAACTGCTGCCCGCAGAGACGGGAGCGCTGACGCTCTTGCCCCGTTCTATAGCGCAGATCTTGTTTTCCAGATCTAGCAATTTGTCCTCCACTTCCTGAGAGATCTGGAACGATTCTCTTCCTTTCAGGGAGAGCGACCTTCTCTTGTCTCTGGTTTCAGCTTTCGTCAGCTTCTGCTTCAGCGTCCTGACCTGCTTCTCGCTGGCGGCTAACTTGTTAGTCAAATCCTGAATCCTCGCTGCCATTAATTGGGCTTGCGCCTGATTGGTTTCATTAACGCTAGCCGCGTCTTGCTTGTGAGCGAAGATTTCCAACTCCAACACATCCTGCGTGGCGTGAGCTTCTCGTAGTTCCTTCCTCATAGCTCGAATCTCCATTACGGCTTTCTCGAAGCGGCTACGCAATTCGTCGTATTCCTCCATGACTCTGCAACGATAATATATGTAACCACCGATTGCAACAGAAGGCTATTGTGTTTCACAATGCGTAATTTTACCTTTCCTTGTCTAATGCAGTCAAATCCAAATCCAACTCGATGTTAGTCAAGTCGCTAAGCGAGTCGAAACTTCTCCCACGTTCTCTCGAAACGGACAGTCCATTCTTCTCCTCTAATTCCCTCACACGATTGTAAAGACGTTCGTTTTCCTCGATACCTAGTTTAAAAGAATGTACACTATTAACGATTGTATCTTAAAGTTAAAGTAAAAAACTAAAGTAAAATTAAATTTTACTCAACGTTGTACTCAAATTTTATTAAAATTTTACTGAAATAATTTCAATTAAATTTTATTTAATTTCATATTCAACAGAAACATAAAATTAAATTTTTCTCAACGTTGTTCTCAACATTGTTCTCAAATATATCATTGAGCTTTAGTTGAAATGATTCCAATTTTCAATTTTATTTAATTTCATACTTGCGTAGACGAAAAACGCGCACTCACCTTGCGAGAGTCTGTCGCTAAGAGTCGACATTTCCGCTTGCAAGTGTTCGACAGTTCTATGGCTCGACGTGAGTTCGTTCGTGAGCATTTCACATCTCTCCATCGTCTCCCGCAGGATAGCTTCCGTCTCCAGTAACTTGCACTCCAAGACCTCCTTTTCCCTGCTGTACACCTTCTTCATCTTCTCCAAGTCCTCTAAATCCTTGTTTCTCTGCTGTTCGGTTCTCTGTATTGTATTCAACAGCTCGTCCACCTGCTTCTCCCTGATAGACGCCTCCGCTTTTTGTTGTCTCAATCTGGCCAGCTCCTTCTCTGCGTTCGCGACATCCGTACGCGCCATGTTCAGCTGCGACTTCAGGCTCTCAATTTCGCTCTCTTGACGCTCGACAATGACTAGTAGCGTGCTCGGGTGAGACGGATTCTGATCCAGCTGATCGTGCAACAGCGACACTTGATTCTCCAAAAGCTCGACGATCAAGGGGCTGTCGTTGGCGCTCGAGAGACAGCTGTTACCCTGCAAGTGACCGTTGCTCTGCTCCTCATCCTCGCCAAGTTCGCAGCAAGCCATCATCAGATCCTCCGATCTCACGCTGTCCAGGGTGCTTCTCCTCGAACTGGGCGGCGAGCTACGGCTCCTCTTGTAGACCCGCGACCTGGAACTCGATCGAGATCTGGCCTTCACCCTGGACAACGCGGTTCTTGTTAGCGGCGGTGAAGGCGGCAGTTCGGACCATTCGTGATTCGCCGAGTCCGACCAGCCGGGACCCTTCAGAGTGATGGACCAATCTCCGTTTCTTACTAGCGGTGGAGACACCGGCATCTCTGACCAGTCGCCGGATTCTCTACGCCCACCCTCAGAAGCGGTCCTGTACTCCTCGTCCGAGGAAAACAACACCGATCTCGGTGTGATGGACGTCGAGGCCACAACGGAATCTCTCTCGCGGTCTGTGATGGACCTGAAACATAAGTCAAATACGGTTAAAAAGATTTATCTAACGACAATGCGATATTATATAGAGTCCATTAAAGCAACGATTGCTTCATGGTATTAATCTTTTACGCTCGCAAGTGACCACACAACATTCAATATCTCTTACAAAACTTGAAAAACGTCGCGCCCTTCGGATTTTATATCAGCTTTAAAACTAACAGCGCGCAGTCAGTTTAAATTTAGATTTAAAATTCGAAAAATGCCAACGCAACGAAATTTTTATTTTATACATAAGAGACTTAGTTCTCGTGAGACAATACTCACGCAGTAGGAGACTGCGGATTAGTCTCTTGCTGAGTGTCCGAGCATACGGCGAGGGAGTCTACGTTGTTGCCGTCAGGATCAGGTAGATTGGCTGCTCTTTTAATCGCTGACATCCAACTGGATCTGATGCCGGCGGTCACCGCGGAGAGCACCGTGCTACCCCGGTCATCCCAAGCCTATGGTTGTGAGTAGCCAAACGTAAGTGCGCGTCACATGAGCTAAAGGCCACGACATGGCCACGAAATATCATGCCACTGCACGCTTCAATTCATGCGAGGTACGCGATCTGCGCTGCCCGCTGGCAATCAATAGCATGAATGAGAAGCTCTGCGAAGCCGACTTATTCTACCGTGAAATTGAGTCAGTATTTTCTCCCGACCGCTCCCACTCTAAACGCGGAAGCTAATCCTGGTCGTTCAATAGGACCTTGAGCCCTTCGGAGAGCCCTTCCAGCGAGAGTTATTTCGTGAGCAATAATCACATTTCATCCTTGCATTGTTTTTAAAATTAAAGCTAACGAAAAAACTCAGTGTTCTAGTCTAGTTCTTTAAATATTAAGAAATTATATATATATATATATATATATATCGAAGCTTTCGAAGAATAAAACTTAAACTATATTTCTCTCAGAAAGATCAAAGATGACAAAGTATATCTCCGATTTTCTCAACTTTACGATGAGTCACGCTTCGAGTTCTCGAAATAATGGATAAGTGGCATTAAATCCTTCAACTGAAGATAAAATTACACGTTCGGCGTCGCGTTATTAGTAGTCGATTATTTTACACGCGACTGTTTTCCGAGAAACGTAAAGATCTCCTTGTGAGAACATTATTAAACTTACGACAGTCTGGAATCCGTAATTCCTCGCGACCTGAAGCGGTGTGACCGCGGTGACGGTGTTCAAATCTATAACGCCGTCCATAATGCCCTTATCCTCCGCGCAGGGGTCCCTGTAGTACATCAATCCACAGCCTCTCAGAACAAACCAGTGCTTGTTCCATTCCTAGGCAGAAAAACGAATTTAGTTGAGCCTCGCCGGTTTCCTCTCTTCTCCTCCTCCGTTTCTCTCTCTGCGCTCTCGAACGCGAGACGCACCTTATTCAATCCTTGCTTCATCAGCCAGCCCTTCTTGATGTTCAGCAAGTCCTCTGCTGGCAGATCGACCCTTAACTCGGAAGTGGGCGAATACCTGATGCCGGAAATGTCCAGACCACAGCCATCGGGATCGCCTCTGATCTGCACGCGAGATTCGTGACATGATTATTTCTTCTTACCACTCCTATCATCCTTTTATCAGTCTTTTGAATTAACGCAGTTAGTTAAACTTCTTTATCTTTTATTACAAAGTCTCCGCTAAGCCAAATTAAATAATACCAATCAAACAATGCTTTTATTTTAGATAAACGCTTCTTCCAAACAACAACAAAAAGGAAATAACTATCCGTGTAATCGCTACAGAGATATTTTTTCATGTTTTTATCACGTACGAGCTTATCCTGATGGGCGGCATTCACCGCGTCCACGACATCTCTGGTCGGCTCCGAAGTCCTCGGCTTGATCCTCCTAGCTCGTGGTTGAGTCAATGAAGCCGCAATGTCCCGTAGCTTTCCTTCTCTTTCCCGCTCATGCTCCAAGAGTATCCTCCGACACGCATCATCGTCTGCACAATACATTTCTCTTCATCTCGGTGCGCTCGCCCGCCCACCCATTCACCCAACCCTTTTCCCTTTTTCTTCAGCAGAAATATCGAGGTTAATACAATTGTTCAATTTTCAATATTGCGTGTCTTTGTGTGTATACAAGTCTCAAATTATATTCAAGCAAATCTCAAACTAGCTAAGTGAAAGTGCTGTTTTTTATCTATTTAAACTTATTTGATTATCGAAAATCCAATTCGACCTTTTTCCCTAATTGTTCTAATTCCACACTTTAATTTCTTTAATTATAATTTAAAAATCATCGTATCGCCTCGATATTTTCGCTAAGAAAAATTAATACTTAAAATTAATAGGATTATTCCAAATTGACAGTTTTTTACGTATTCAATTTTTAACATTGCGCACTTCTGTAATCAAGCTTCAAATTAAAATCATACTCAAGCAAATCTCAAATTAACCGAAGAACACACTTTTGATACTTAATTACGAAAAATCCAGTCTATTCTTCCCCTTTAATTGTGTCAGTTTTACTTAGTCTTATTAGTGCCTCAATATTTTCATTGAGAAAAATGAATATTTCAAATTGTTTAGATTACTCCAAAATGGTCAAAGAATCCGTCGTTAAAGTATAAAACGTTAGAAGTGAATCATCCTATATATTCGACACGCAATCAACGCGTTAACCGTCCTGTATACCTCTGGATGAGGAACTATTTCCTGGTTGCGCCATTTATCTTCAAAACGAACTACGCCTATCTTCCTAATTCTAATCGGCCCGCGAATAGGATAGCCAAGCCAGCTTATGAATTATAATCATGGCACTCGAATCCATAGAGAGAAAGAGAGAGAGAGAGAGAGAGAGAGAGAGAGAGAGACCCAGAAGACCGTCTCACGAACGGACAAAACCGTTAAACAGTCTTCCTACAGCGGGGCGTTCGTTGTTATCAAATATTCGTCTCGGTATCGCGGTCGGTGACTTAACTAATTAACTTCCTTTCCGCCCGAAGCGCCCAGGCACGCTTCGACGATGGCGCGGGCCAACGACTACTTAGCATTAATTAACTGCCGACTATTAATTAATAAACGGATCGCTGCCACGACTGGCAGCAACGACCACCTGAGAAGCGGCAGATTTCTTTCTCCTCCGAAAGATCTTCCTGTTCACGTGAGTCGTGTGCCAAAATCAAGCACGTCGTTGTTACACTAAAGATCCCATCAGTTTAAAAAATTCCTCGTCTCTCTCAAAAAAAATATAATAAGATCGATTAAAAGCTCAAGATGAAACCATAATTCAACTGGAAATTACAAATGTAAAAATAAAATGATATAGAAATAAAATTAATATAATATATTCAAAAAGGAATTCTTTTTTTACATATAATCGAGATATTAAAGAGGGCCAATGAGAGCTAATAAAATTAATAATTAAATTACAATGGAGTAAAATGTGACTCCATTGTAATTTAATCATTGATTTTAACAAAATACGTTGACCCTCGCAATTTACATACTGCGCTGGTTCTCACTGGCTTTTTTAATATTCTGAGAACAAAGTTATATTAAATAAGATTGGTAGAAAGGAAAAAGATCGAGTTATGCCTACAGATGTGGAATTTAATACAAAAAAGGATAAGTAAGTAACAACGTTGAATCGCACTAAAATGCGGTTCCGCGGGAAAACTGCCAGCGAATTGCTGCGTTCCTCTGAAATCTAACCACCTCTGAAATTCCATCTTGGGATTTTTCAACGCGCGAAAGGGCGTTAGAGCTGATCGGCGATGGGCGGCTGAAATCTCCGCGTGATCCCGACTCTCCGATAACACACGCGTTTCAATAAACCCGCGTTCGGTGTAAATCGTCAGACGGAGAAGGGGAGATCGCTCGGCGGACTTTGCGTGCCGCGAGATTTTTCGCGAGGCGATTTCTAAAGTACCCCGTCGTTCGTCCGGCATCGATCTAAATGAAATCTACGGATCGGGCGCGGCGCGGCCGCCGATTTTCCTCGAGATTGCGCGCACGCAATTACGCAACATGAACAGGAGGCGGCGATACCGTGCGGAACCTCGCGGCACAAAAATCGCGCGGCGGTGGGAATCCGCCGTTCTGAAAGTCGCGCGAATCCGGGTGAATAGAATATCTTCTGACTGAGCCAGGAGAATTTCAAAAGAACGCGAAGGAAAAGGTTAATATTACTGAGGGAGAAAAAGAAGTATCTAAAAAGTAAACAATATTTATCCGGTGGATACTAACGACACATTATAGCTCAAATCTAAAATCTTCCACTTAAATAAAGTGAACAATTGCTGTCATGAAAAGCTCAAACTCTAAGAAAATGTACATTTTCTCATTTCAAAAATATTCACATCGAGAAAGAAAATACTTGAAGATCTATTTGTGGGATGAAATTGTATTTCGCAGAAATGAATTTTACACGCATAAATTCTCAAGTATTTTTCTTTCAGTGTGGTATAAATACGATATTAATGCCTACCGTGAATAAATACGTTTTCCTCTTTTTTTCTCTCAGTGTACTCGGAGAAAATCGGGATACAAGGATCGACTCGACGTGATGATAAGACCGGCTGTTAATTAGCGCACCGCGTACGTCTGAGAACTCGTCGGCATGTACGTTACGCTCCAACGAGCAATTTCATTTTTCCCGTGGTTGATTAATCATTTATTCGCAAATCCACCTCTGTATCGGCCATTAAGATTTCTCGCGATTGCAGATCTAAAAGATTAATCATGAAACAGACTGGATTTTTGGACGACCACCTTTTCTCAGTCGGAAATCTCGACTTTCCATCGTCTTCCTCAAGCAGCACGAAGATGCATTCGTCGTTGCACTCGTAGTCTTCTGAGAGGGCGGGAGAGAAAGAGGTACTCTGGGAATTTTATTAATATAGCTTTCTACGCGAGAGTATATCTCTTCGGCTAATATTATCACGCTAACTGCTACGTGTGCGATATCAATTATATCGAATAAAAATAGGTCAGCTCCGACTTAATGCGTCAGCCGTTTCTTCCGCGGACTGCAAATCATCGTCAATGAGAATGTAAAACGCAAACTGCGTGGCGGCGTTGACCCAGTTTCCCCCCGCGGTACACATCTAAACTAGTTTCATCCGTCCGTCTTGTAAGAATGAAGAAAAGAATAAAAAAAGAAGAAGAAGCTTTCGACGCAGATCCGCCGCTTCGAGAGTCGTATCCCCCGGATGCACTTTCGCACGTATTTTGCCGAGACGCGGAAGTGAAATTGTACTCCTCGTAAATTCGTTTTCCCCGCTATCAATTACCCGCGGCCCGATTTCGACGTAATCTCAACTGACGCGAGTCAGTCCTAATGAAGCGATCTGCATCGCGCGATCTCTCCCTGTCGTTAGTTCCTTAATCGCGTTATAGCATCTTCATCGAACGCTCGTGTTGTTACGAGGCAGAAGATCATCGAGTTATCGCGAGGTAACTCCGTGGTGAAAACTCAGCGCGAATTAAATCACAGCAAAAAACAGCATCGCGTTCGAAAGTTGGAGATCGTCTATCATATTCCGGATCCGCAGGAAATCCGGAAATCGCCCAGCTCTGCGTTACAAATAGCCGATTGAAGATTTTCAAAGATGTTCAGAGACAGAGAGGGATGTGAAGAGATAACGAGTAACATTTTATCCTCCGTGTAACATGAGAAAAAACGTAGCTTGACGGAATTTTAATAGGGAATAATTAATTGAAAATTAAGGCTGCTGAATGAACAAAGTTAAAGACAATTAAGGACAGTTAAAGCCTATGACAGCTAAACGCTACTTAATATTATTATTATGCATAATATTAATTCTTTAGCATAATATTAATATTATGCTAAAGAAAGAATGTGCTTTTACTGTAGTTGCACAATATAAAAGTGATACGATTATTTCCGCGGTACTGCAGTAATGATATAATTATGATTATAGTAAGAATGATGCAATTATTACTGCAATCACTGCAAAAATTATATAAGAGATTCTCCAATATGCAATTCTTATAGTAGCACCTTGAAGCAATTACGTAACTGCAATGCAAATATTATTCAGCATCTGTCCCTCACAGACCTTAATTGTACTCAACTTCAATTCAAAAGTATCGACAGACGCACACGCATGCACGCACCCATACTACACACACACACAGACCGCACGACGCAGTCAGGACACACACGACGACCTCATCGGCCCCGTGGCGCGGAAGTCAACAGGGAGAAATTGTGTCTCATTGAATACCGACCTAGTTTCTCGCCGGAGGCTGCGCTGGCGTCGCCGATGATGCCGCTCGTCCGCTCCCCCTGCTGATTCATCCTGCGCCTGGCCTTGTCCTCAGCGCGCAGCTTGTCCCGGGTCGGCGGTGACGCGCTACTGGCAGGTTGGTCCCGGTAGCCCAGCCTGCCGTCGTTAGGGATCATGGGCGGCTTTTCGCTCAGCGACCCGACGCTGCTGAGGACAACGCCCGACGGAGTGGCGCTCGTCGCCGTCGAGACGGTCGTCGTGGTCGTCGAGTAGACCGCGCTGCAGACGCCGCCGTTCATCGACGACGACGACGTCGTTGTCGTCGTCGTCGTTGTCGTCGACGTCGACACGCCGGTCGTCAGGTAGCTGCCAGTCGAGCCATTCTCGAGCGGCGCGCCGCCGCTCAGCAAAGGCGGCAGGTTGTTCCTCAGCTCGGCGGCGTTCTGCCCGTTCGCCAACGCGTTGCTGTTGGCGGCCGTGACGACGCTGGTCGTCACCAGCGAGGGCGTCGACGAGAACACGGACGAGCACAACTCCGACGGCCCGCTGCCGCTCTCGGGGATCCATGCGCTGCCGCGTGGCTCCGAACGGCAGCTGTTGAAGCGCGGCCGCGGCGGATTCGGCGTGTTACCTGCCGGACGATGTGAAATTTCGTATTTTTTTTTGCGAATCTCTCGTGTCCGCGAATCGGACTGTGAAATCGTATGGGTCGAGCGAACGAAGCGGAGGAAAGTTGAATTCGCAAAAAGCCGCGGTGTCAATTTGAACGACCTTCTTCTGGTTCAGTCGGTCGGAAGGTTTCGCTTGACTTTGAACCCGTCATCGGAGTAATGATTATTTACGTAATAGAAAAAGAGAAGAACTATTTACGCCAACGATCTTTCAAACACCCATCGACCAAATAATCACCGTCGTTAGCTATAATTCCGTGGTGAAATACGTGCATGTTTATATATTGCAGAAAGTAGGCAGTAAACAGATGCGAACTGAACGTTTTGACTGGCTGAACGCAAGGCTTCTCATTATTTCACGTTGCGGCGCGCAACTCCAGTTCTAACCGCGGTAATTCCCGTCGAAAACTGCGGTCTGAATAATTGAAACGAGGCGTAATTAGCCAATTAGGGAAGGAGGACGTCGATCTCGGGACGCGGGATAACGAGGCGACAGTGCGAGAGCGAATGTAATAATAATCGCGCGCGCCGCGAGGAAGATATGCCCCTGGCTGATTATTCGCGCCGCTTATCTTCCTATTATTTACGCTCGTATCCCTGTCGCGCTCGTATCCCACGCGATATTTACCACACGGCGGGGCTAAACTGTTGCGACGGTGTTGTTACGCACACATACACACACGTACCACCTTTCTTTCCGTCTCATTCTCGTTGCATCAAATTGCTCGCGTAAAGAGCCCGTCGTCCGTCTCTCGCGCGCGATCACGCATTTTCCCGAGGAACTGCGTGAAACGGCCGCGCGAGTGAGAGACACGGTAATTACGTCGTCATTAACTACCGGCGCGTGGAAATACCGGCCGAGCGCGGCACGACGAGCGGCGCGTATTACTGTGAAATTTGCATAACACGCCGACGCGGCACTTACTTCGAATCGTCGGCGTAACCTGCAGAATTGTCGTCTGTCCGCCGGGAAAGGTTGCGTTTCGCTTGTGCCGACCCTGAAAAACCACCAAAGCACACCGTCATGAAGAAAAGATCATTGAGAGAGAATAAGAGAGAGGGATTACGTCGGTGAGGAGGACATTTTTACGGATGCACATTTATCATCACACTCCGTAGCGTCGCTAACATTTCTTTCGCCGTGTTAAAGCGAAGTTAACGCGCTCGCTCTCGCGAACGGCCGCATAACCGGCTAATCGATCGTGACACGCTACGTGCGATCCCGCGGATAATCGCGGCTGATGCTTATTATCCGCGGCCCCAATCGTGAGAACAGCGCGATCCGCGAGCCGCGAACGTGAAACCTACGGACAAATAATGAACGAGTGTATCTCCGACGAGGATACACCGTCGAGCTTACAATTTCAGCCGTAACTGACATCTCGTCTTCTCCTCGTTTGTTTTCCGCGTTTGGACCGCGTCTTCCTTGGTTTCCTAAACATTTCAGTTCACTTCTTCAGAGAACAGAGCGAAACTTCCAGATCGCCCTGCTGAAAGTTTTAGGTCGTCTCGCTCCTTGAAGAAGTGAACTGAAATGTTCACGAGACGTCGAAATCAAATACAAGGGAGACGCGGTTCAAACCCGGAAAACAAGTCAAATATCGGACAATACTGCGAAAGCCTAAAATCCATCTCGTCCTCTTATTTATCAAACGCTCTTTTAACGATTTAGATGTCGAATGAAAAAAAAAGGTTAATTTCTAACTAAAATTATAGTCATTTTTCTGGCGCTAAGAAAGAGAAAGAGAGAGAGTAAGATACTCATAAGGGGCATGACCTTTACAAATCTTTACAAATCAACTAGTAAAGTTTCTGGAAAATTTACGTACACTTGCCTATCTCAATATAGCTGCAAATACCAAACACTGTTTTCCATTGTATGTTGCAAGTTTTTCGCAACATTCGCGAGCCTGTATGAGCAAATTATTGTCCAACGAAGAAATGCGAGATCTAACCGGCAAATTGAAAGTACAATTGAAAGGTAGGTACAAACGCGAAATGCCGACGCGACTGAAATGACGTTATCGAGGCGCGTGAAACGCGGTATTGCTGAGGAGACGTTCATTAATGCACGCGCGGTCTCGCCTTCTCGGCTCGGAACGAAAGTATTCGCGAATCTTGATTTACGTGTAAGATGTCTGAATTGATCCGAGTTCCTTCACTCAGACAGCATGGCGATTCGAAGGACGACGACGGGGGAGAGTGCGCGGCCGGGAGATGGATAATTGCTGAAAAATGTGGAAAATAACGCGCGGGAGTAGCGTTTCCCCTCACCGGGCTTGAAATGTCGCGCCACGTATGCCATCGCCTTGGCCCCATAACGTAATCGTTCGTTTACACCAGCAGCAGGTCCGCGACAACCGAGCAGCCGCTCCGGCCGATCGATCATTGACTTGCGTAACGGAATCGACGTGCACGTCGAATGCCGCGGCGTGGCGTGGAGGCAGGCGCGAAGCTTGCCGTTTACCTGCGAACAATGCTGTCCCAGGCTATCCCGGACGATTCGCGAGGACGATTGATCGATCGGCATAGCCGTGAGCGCGCGACGCGGAGAGCGCGCGGAAAACACTCCATTCTGTGTTCCGAGGAGATAATTATCGAGGCGTTGCGAGATGCTTCGGATGCGCGGCTACGTACATATATATGTACACACATATATATATATATATATATATATATATATATATATATATATAATGTAATATATATATTGTGTACGACCCGCGGAGAATGCTTTTTGTTCGAGGATTACAGTTGTACGGCAGCCTCGATGCCGCACGAGGCACGTCGTAACGCGCCAAGTAATTTACGACACGTTGTTACCCCCGCGGGATGAGATTTGCATGTTTCGCAATATTTCCCGGCGACTTCCTCGAGAGAGGACGACGTCCCTCCTCTGTCGTCGTGATTTCGTCGACTAATAAATCGGATAAATTAGTCAGTGTGTTGCGAGAGAGCACGCAGGCAGTGAGATACGAGGTGTATCTCTTTCAATCTCTTGGAGTGAAATTCCACTCAAAAAATACGTAGGATTAATGGCGTTATTATACATAGTTGAAGTGCTTTGTGGCTTCTAATAGATCCTGTCTGGGGAATAGAATCGGTCAAGTATGGCCTTAAGAAACGGCGCGAGACCCACTTTTGGGAAACAGAGTCTTTGAACCCCGTACGCTCCCGACGATGATCGTGCGGCGCGCCGCGATGTGATACTCGTGTTTTACGCTGTAAGAAGTACGAAATGAAGCGGTATTTCCGTTTGCCGATCGATCATTTCTTACGTAACTCGCGCACGGTCGGACGTGCAATTCGCCGTTGTTACAATGTTACGAGCAGTGTAGCGAATGACAGCTCCGCGAGCGGCTCAATTTACGGCGGCTTGATTGATTGGAGGGCTTGCGAACGAACACCTCCGCTCGCGATACGGTAGACAATCGAGAAAGGCTAGACGTAATCACGCATTTACGATGGGTGGAGGCCATCGGCGCGGAGGCCACAGGCCAGGCCCGAATTTCTTCTCGGCTCACGATCGCCGATTTGTACGCGTTGCGCAAGTGCACACTTGCGAAAACGTGCGCTCGAACGTCGATGTGTTCGTGACACTTAAACAAATACCATCATGCACGATAATTATCAGGGGCTTGCCAAACAAGTTTGTCGGATTTTTTATTATATTGATTTTATTCGTTGCGCTAAATTGGTGTATTGGTTTTATTCGTTACGCTAAATTGGTATTGATTGTGTATCGTCTTACATCACATCGTATCATACTGTATTCATCAGTGTATACACGGAAAAGAAAGTTTTGGTTTAACCAATTTCTCGTGAAATACGAACGGAACAAAAAGTTCCGGTTGAAGTTAGCAGCATTCTATTTAACCAAGAGCTATATTAATAGTCATTACCTGAAATTTGTCTCATGTGAGATACTCAGATTTTTATTCAGAGTTAAATCCAAGTTGCTTATGTTAAATTATGATGTGCATGTGATACTTCCATCTATAATCGTAATTCAACTGAAAAACTCTCATCTAGCTCTGAATTAAAATCTGAGTATCTTAATTGAGACGAGTTTCAAGTGATAACTATTAATATAGACGCAAATTTCCCAAATCAAAATTAAGCACAATCAAGTTAAGAAATCTTGTCAACTTGAACAGTGTTGAGTATTCGTAATTTTTATCTGCTAATTTCTGCCATGCGATCATCTGACTGCTTGTGTGCGAAATGACTCATTCTTTGAGTCAATGAGATCATCGATTACCCAATGCAATCTCATAAATTTCACGAACGACGTGAAGCCAAAACATTGACGTATCTGCCACAATAACCATACTCGCGTCGGCTCATGTCCACCCCGTCTAATGGTTCTTCCATTGATTTCCAGATTCCGCAATCCTACGTGATATTTAACGCGACGTCAAAGAGCGTTGCACATAAGTGGAGACAAATAATAGAGTCACCGGCAGCGGCACCGCCAAGTGGCTGCGTGAAGCGATCATTCTCACGTCCGAGCCGAGTTCTTTAGCGATCGCGTAGCGCCAAGTGAAACGGTGCAGTCTCCATTTGTCACCGACCGCTTTCCGTCGTCGTCGTCACCGTCGTCGTCATCGTCGTCGTCGGAGGCTGAATAATAGTTCTCTTTTTGCGAGACGCCCCGGCGTCAAGCGACGGGTGAAAAGAGAAAACGGGGCCCCTTTAGAGATCGCGAAAAGACGAATGAATCGCAGGAAGGAGCCAATCGACTCCACGGACAAGCCCGATGCAGTCTCGTGACAACTCGCGCACTACTGGCGTTATTGTCGACGTAATGAGCGGCCGGGACGACGACGGGTGGCGGGTACGCGGCGATTATGCGAGGCAACGTCGGCAGTTTCACTGTCGCTTACGCGAGCGCTTTTTTCTTCCTCCTCCTCTCCCTCATTTTTCTTTCTTCCCTTTTCTTTTCTTTTTTTTTATTCATGGACCTTTCAGGCACCGCGACGGGCAACAGTCACACTCAATAACCGCTTCATCACGCGAAAGCGCCGCTCGAGCCCGTTTATGAACTCGACGCACTTTTACGTCGCGCTCTGTCCCACATCGCCGCTAATCCTGTTACGTGTACAATAGCGTCCTTCATGCACCGGGCGACAACAAAGGTGGCTTTGCGACCGGCCTCCTCCTTCTCTTGCTCCTCCTCCTCGTCGTCGCCGTCGTCGTCGTCGTCGTCGGGGTAAAGTGGCGCCAGATCGGCGATTGACTCCGTTAAATTGAGATAAATTAATCGAGTAACACGGGAGTGTTTCATTTCTTTTTTCACGGAGACTCTCCTTCGCGACGTCGGCCCTGTCGGCAGGAAAGAATCGAAGCCAAGCTGAGCCGACGTCGATGAAATCAACCTGGATACCGCCGATTCGTTCTAAATACCGCCACCGACAATTAATGCCTGCGATTACTCATAGGTATAACTCATCGTCTCGGAATATCGCGCGAAGACGCGACGCCGAGAGGCGGAATCATCCTTGCGCGCGTAACGAGCACGACGTTGTACAGGAGAGGATGATGCACGGACTTAACGATTACGCGCGCGCGTGAAAGAGAGAGAGAAAGAGAGAGAGAGAGAGAGAGAGAGAGGGAGGAAGGGGAAATGCGGTAAGGGGAGAGGGAGAGAAGGAGCACCCGCAGCAATCGCACAGACGATGGCTGCGTTTCTGCCATTTGCGTGACTCCGCTCTCGCGCAACGCTCAAACGTACGGGAGACGTAATACGGTACCGATACGCCCCAAGACGTATCCTCACCGTAATCGACAGAAAATTAAATTCTCTAATGATACACGTAAGAGACGCCATTCTATATCACGAGTGTGCATTATACGCGCGTCGACGCGCCGGTTTCCTCTCCACCGGCCGACGGAGTCATTTTCTCCAGTCGATACTCTACCCTCGTAATTCGACGCGCGAAATTAGATTGCGCCTCTAACATCGTAACGGTACCCTCCTCCCTTTGCGCACTTTAGTTACACTTAAAAACGAATTTAATATTTGGTTTCTGCTCTGGCGTCTCGACACTTAAGCCTGATCTACAATATGTTCTTTGCATTCTGTTTCTGATTTTCTATCTTTTTCTGACTTAAAGCTTAAAGTTTAAGTAAGTCAGAAAGAGATAAAGAGAAAGAAGCAGAGCATATTGTAGATCAGACTTTATATCCTCGTGTATGAATAACCAAAAACAAATTGCAAATGTTCCTTTCAGAATACAGATAGGACAAAACGCCGAATTATTAACGTTCTGCTTAGAGGCTCATGTTAATTGAAACTTGCTCGCGTGAAATACTCAGATCTGAATTTAGGTTCGTATTGATAGTTGTTTACCCGTTACCCAACTCTAACTGTTACAGTTCGATCTGAGTTTTAGTTGAATCGCATAATACGTGACATTGTAGTCTGTTTTCATGACTCTGTATCAATTGTTACGTAAGACTTTTTTCAAGAGAGATTTTCAGATTTGAGTTTGACGAGAGTCTTTCAGTTGAACCACAATTACAGATATATAAATGTCACATATATTATCAGTTTCTTCTAGCGTGTAATGACCGAAAGGGATGTCAATAATTGACTGTTTTATTCTTTCTGCTTTCTATTCTCGAATGACGAATAAAACGCAGGAGCGAGAGACACCGTGCGTGACGAATGGACAAAAATCCGGGACGACTCACCTTGTTGCGCGAGTACACCTGGAGAACATCCGTCCACCACCTGGTCTCTTCTCGACACGTCCCTTTGACGAAGGTCACACCCTCCGGCGAGGTCACGGCGAGGCTGTAAGGATGTCCAGTGACGTCCTCGGCGGCGGCCACCTCCAGGACGCGGGTCATATCGATCCTCGCCTGAGGCACCGTCTCGGGCTGCAAAGATAAGAGGGAGGCGTCTGATTATAAGAGAGCTGACGCGACTGCGGACACACACACACACGCGCGCGCGCACACACGCCACCGTAGAAGAGACGCTCTACTTTTACGCGAAATTACATCGAGCCAGCCGACGTAATCGGCCGTCGGAGATTAAATACGCGTTCGCTAATCACGCGTTCTCACGCGCACCACGAAAACAAACGCGAGGGCGAAGAAGCGCGGGGCATAATAATAACGAGACGCCCGACGACGCATCGCGGGCGATCCAGTGCGTGTGAGAATACGCACAGATGCGCGTAGAAAAAAGTGTTTGAGGCTGTAATTGCATAGTGAAATAATTGCAGTCGGGAAAGCCATTTTTGTAGTAAGTGCTACTATAGAGTTAGCGATAACAACCTACTCATTTGCATATCGCTACGTCTTTGCTACTTCTTTGTTAGAAAAACCAAGAAATATGGCTGGCGCGGAGGATCACCGTAATTTCAACGAGATCCAGTCATTTCTTTCTCTCAGTGCAGCGGTGATCAACTACTGTCCGTCGTCATTAATCCTTCTGAATTTGTCGAAATTTCCTTGGAAAATTCGGAAAATTTCGCAGCGGTGCACCACGGCTTTTAAAAAAATTGCAGAACTAGCTAATTCAAATTTGGACTTTAACTTCTTCAGTAGTGATTCAAAATGTATGCGATTCTCCCTAGGACGAGTATTTTTTAATAAACATCTCTAGGTTTCTTTCCTCTTTATTGCTATTTTCTCTGAAGAGTTTTGAGAAATGAAGTACAAAAAGATTTGATTTTGCTATGAATTAAAAAAATACAATAATTTGAGTAAACCAAAAGGAATTCAGCATTTCATTACGAAACTGTTTAGGACATATCAGTTAAGGGGGTTAAACGACAAAAAAAGGGGATTAAACGACAGAGAGAAAAGGGGCTTTTCGCATTCTATGAAATTTCAGGTGGAGTCGCTGTAACAGCCTCAAAGAGAGTAAAGAGTTAAATGCGTGCATTATTAACTCTGGCGTTAACACGCTCATGTGCTCGAATATACCGTGAATATACCGTGAATAATCGATTAAACCACTTGTCATAAGTTGTAATCATTGTTCTCTTGTTTATTTTACCTTTAACGCGATTTTCATGCGCAATCTTGAAGGAGTTCTTGAAAATAAATAAATTAAAATGCAACTGCACCAATACGTCCGGAAGGCGCTGGGTGTTACCGTCCGGGTTAATAAGAGTCTTCGAGAGCTCGATTAACGAGTAAGTTAATGCGCAACTGCCATGACGTAGACTGGCAGAACGGAATGACGAAACGCGAGCGTCGAGATCCGCGGTCGCAGCGCGACGCATTTTTATTGCGCTCGATATGTACTCCCGTCTTTTTTTCTTCTTCTCTTCTTCTTTTTCCTCTCTCTCACTCTCTCTCTCTCTCTCTCTCTCTCTCTCTCTCTCTCTCTCTCTCTCTCTC